CGGCGTCGCCGCGGCGGCGGCGTCGGGTCGCGGCGCTGCCGGCGCGGCGGCGGTGGCGGACGGGTCAAGCGGACGCGCTGCCAGCGCGGCGCCAGACTCCAACGGCGCGGCCGCGGACGGGGTCTTCGCAGCTACCGATGCCGTGGCGTCAAGCTGCACCGCTGTTGGCGCGGCCTCGGCGGAAGGGTCGGGCCTCGAGGTTGCAGACTCCGACAGCGCTGCCGGCGGGGTGGCGGCAGCTGCTGGTGCTGTGGCGGCAGCGCAGGCATCAGGCTGCGCCGCCTTGGGCTCTGCAGCAGCGGACGGACTAGGCCTTGAGGTTGCAGACTTTGGCGGCGCGGCCGCGGACGGGGTGGGAGCAGCTGCCCATGCCGTAGCGACACCCAGGGCGGTGGGCGGCCTTATCACAGACGGCGGTGGCGATGGATCGTGGCCAGAGGCGGGCGTTTCGGTGGCCGGCGATGCAGGGCAAGGCCTCGCAGACGAGCTCGACTTTCTCAGGGCCGCCTGGCCCTGCGAGGACGAGCTGCGCGTGGAGGGGCCCCGCGGTGCCGAGCTGGCCTCGGTGGCCGTGAGGCTCGCCCCGCTGGTTGGTGGCGAAGACCTGCATCAGTTCGTGCAGTGCGAGCTGATCCTCACGGTGCCACTGGGCTACCCGCACACCGCAGCGTGGCCCGCCCTGGGTCGCAGCCGGGGTATACCCGACGCACAAGTGGCAAGTTTGTTGGCTGGCCTGAGGCGGCAGGCGCAGGGTCTGGCTGGGGGGCCGGCTCTGCACGCACTCATTGAGGCGGCGCAGGAGGCCCTCACGGCGCTGAACGCACCCGCGGGAGAGTGCAGCGTGTGCTTGTTGGGATTTGAGGGCGACGTGTCCGGAGGCGCGGTGATGACTCCCTGCTTCCACGTCTTCCACCCTGGCTGCCTTGTGGAGTACTGGAGGTGCGAGTGGGAGAGGCAGGCGCCGCGCTGCCAGTGGGCGCGCGAGGCCCGAGTATTGTGCCCCGAGTGCCGCGGCGTGCTGCCTTGGGAGTCGCTGCCTCGGCTGCACGCTGCCCTGGAGAGCCTTGCAGCGGGGCCGCCCGCGCTGGCGGAGAAGGACGCGGGCGAGGGCCCCGAGGAGGTGCGGGAAGAATTGGAGCCGTGTGGCGCCGTCCGCGAGTCGGCGGC